TAATATTGCTATCTTGCTTTGACGCTCAATATAAGAGTTAACTATTTAGAGTTTGACGTTCTATATAAGAGTTCTATCTAACCGAGAAGAAAAGTAAGATAATCTTTTAGCTTTTGTTTTAATATAATATGGTTTTAATATAATATGGTTTTGTAGGACTTATTTTCTCTCTAAAGATATGTTTACTAACATTTCGTTTGCTATAACCTACAGATGTAGATGGCTCATGGTTTAAAAGATATGAAACATTCATATTGGCAAATTAAACATCTGAAGAGCCGGATGATAGAACAATATTACGCAAATTTAATATATGATCTAAAAAAATTTCTTGCAAAGGTCAACAAAATGATTACAGTCCTCAACCCTGTGAAAACATCTAGCTCAATCCAATGATTTATTTATGAGATTTTTAACCTGATTTTTACAGATATTTATCTTCAAATGTTTAGTGACTTGTTGAGATGTTTTGATTAGCAAGCCACTGTTTTTTGTAATTATAAAAGAATATGCTCATTTCTACAAACTGTACTGCACTCTGTATTAAAGTTATTACTTAATTGAGACAATGCAAAATTATCAGTTTAATACTTTTTGCATTCACCATAAAACACAGACATTTTTGGACTTATAATATAAAAAAAATAGATTAAGTAGTTTACTTTTTGATGAATAAAAAATAATAATATGTTAAAATAATAGTAAATATACTGACATTACAGTTGCTAACTACATTACAATTATTTATATGAATATATAATCTATATTTAACATCATTAATGTTCATACTTATACACTCTGCCCCCTCTTCCCAGCCTTTGTTTATAGCATTATTAAAATCTAAAATAGTTATCTAATTGGGGTATAGTTTTAAAGTGTCTGGGTATGCTTTTTTTTCAATGAAATTTGGCAGATAGTAAGAAAAAAGGTTTTTAAAGGTGAGAGGCTATATTTGAATGATGATCCAGCATTTCTTTAATATATACTTGATGTCCAAACAACAAGCAAACTTTTAACAACAATCAAATTCATAATAAATAAAATTTTACATGCAAAATTAAAGTTCCATAATTCTAGTATTCAGAATTTAATTTATTTATTTTTATATCAAAAAACATTTTAAAAGTCTATTTTGATACACATTTCTATAAAATAACAAAACAAGTTCATACCATGCAATTTTTCAACAAACTAGATAATGCGTGTCCCAGAAATTGGCCAAAAAAAGTGTTCCGTAAGATCCGTATTTACGCGTACCTGCAAAATTGAGTATAAACTATAAAATCCAATACTCTGTAATGCTTGACTAATACAATAAAAACATATTTGGCAAATAATAAGAAAAAAGGTTTTTAAAGGTGAGAGGCTATATTTGAATGATGATCCAGCATTTCTTTGATAAATACTTGATATCCAAACAACAAGCAAACTTTTAACAACAATCAAATTCATAACTAATAAAATTTTACATCAAAAAAATCCATGCAAAATTAAAGTTTCATAATTCTAGTATTTAGAAAAAGTCTATTTTGATACACATTTCTATAAAATAACAGAGCAAAATAAGTTTATACCATGGAGTTTTTCAACAAACTTGATAAAGCGTGTCACAGAAAGCGGCCGAAAAAAGTGTTCCGTAAAATCTGGAATCACGCGTACCTGCAAAATTGAGTATAAACTATAAAATCCAATACTCTGCAATGCTAATACAATAAAAACATTATATTTCACTAATACAATAAAAACATTATACTTCATAAAAAATATATAAAATGTCAAAGAAAAGTTAAGACAACCAAAGTTTTGTTCATGATTTACCTTTAATGAACAATCATGAACAAAACTGATGCATGATGCAATGACTGCATGCATGATGAACTAACATTTTGCAAACACAACGAAACATTCGTAAAGTTATTTAAAGCTAATTTATTTTTATTTAGATGTTCGTTTCTAGTATTCTTAGGAGCCAACTGTTTACATATCTCACTTTTCACTTTATTTATTTCAACTATAACTTTTTTTTCTTTTTGTTCAGGATGAACATTCAGTATTTCTTTTAATACTCATGAATAAAGTATAATCACAATCTTAATGATGTAATAACGATGTAAAATAATTTTATTTTAAAACATTAATACTATAAAGCATATCTAAACTATTAAAAAAAAATTACTAATTATTTATGTAAATCTTCATATTATTTATTTTAAATATATAAGTTAATCTGCAGTTAAGCAGTGTGATGTTTTTTAGCTTGTTGCAAGACTTGTTTAAAATGGTGACTTTTTAATATAAACATAAAGAATATTTATTAGCATAAGTAGTCAGTACTTAAATCGAATAGCCTGCTTATTAAGATAAGATAGATATAAATATATCCTTATTAAGATGGCTAACCATTGGTATATGAATGGCATCACCGGTGCAGTGGTACCGGTCATCAGCCAATAAACCATGGACCAAGCATGGAGAGTTTGCTGGTAATGCTTTCTGTCTCAAACGGAAGCACAGGTTTTTTTTTATCTGTCTGCCTCATGTCTTATTATAAACCCTATTCAGCATACTGTTGATCATTACATGTTGGTATTTTGACGATAAGTCCTTCTCGCCACCGTTATGAAAGAATATTGTTTAACTCCTATTTTCCTCTTATGGGATTCCATGCAAGTACCACATATTAAACATGATACAAAATGTGCGTGGGTTCGCCTTTTTCACATACTGTAGGTGCAATCCACAGTGGAATCTTTTTTACTTGCGCCAATTATTTTTTTTACCTCTCTGATCGTAATGCAGCCATAGCTTACTAAGACAAGTCTTTTGTCATTGTGAAATATCCTATTGGCATCGAGCTGAGTTCTTACCTCTAGCAGGTTAACGTACGCACGTTGTACTTCCTTCAACCTTGCCTAATCTCTTCCAGAGGTGTGTCCCTAATAGCACCATCAAGAATCTTACAAACAGTTTTCTTCAATCTATAGCAATTTTGCAAAAATGAATATTTCCTCCATTTACGAAGATTCCTGTTAGGTCTAAAACCATCTGAAAACTCTTGATTCTCTTAAACCCCAGGCATGTCCTAAAATTCTAAAAATCCTGCTTTTTGTTTTACATCGATCAATTTTTCCACTGCAGTATGCAAAGGTCTATCAATGCGTTTAAGCAATCGCTTTAACAATTGCATAAAATAATACAAGATAAAGTTTTTCCAGATCCCCTTCAATTACATCTTGTTTAACTGGCACAATGGTAGGCTGTTCTTCATTAGTTTAATTCTATGTTAACATTTTAATCTTGTTAACATCAGTTACTATTTCAATTGAATTAGCTATATTATTTACAGCAGGCTGTAATTCTGTTTTCCTGCCTGTATTAAATAAGAGCGTTATTTGACTTTCAGCACTAGTTTGCAGCGCTTTTTACACCACTTCATTAATTTGTGCGCTTACTTTAGCAAGGATAGGTTTGTACTAACTATCCAAAAAGTGAATTTTCCTCACAGCCCCTGGAGTCTGCGTTGTAATACCTAGCACAGTAAAGTTCTCTGTATTCATTACCAAGATAGAAATTGCAATTTCCTTAACTGCCAGATTGGGCAGTTCTCTGTCTGTCCAAGCAAACTTAGTTTCATGCAACCCTTGAGTGCAACTCCGTACCTAGAATGATGTCTATCCATTGACATTCTTTTGCTGAAATAGATACTGATTTCCTTCCAGTAGCATTCTCCTTACAAAAAACTTCTAAATTGAATAAAGTTACTTGTTCTTATTAATGAATCTTTTATTTGATTTTCCACTGTCAATCAAGGCTTCTGCTTTATATTTGTCATTATTTGTAATTTTGTGGCAGACTTGTAAGACAGAATCGGCTGAAACTACGATGGTAGAACAAAAGTAATCCTCAGTTTAAATCCTCATTAATAAATATAGTTAGTTAGGAGATTCATTTCATTATTAGTATTCTTACAATTAAATGTTTTGAACCAATGTTCTTGCTGCATTTGATTTTTGGGTATTGTTGATGAAAAAAAGAAGCTAGCAACTACAGTTTTAGCATTTTTTTTAACGCTTCGGTCGCTTGAAAATATATATACTGTTTGCTTTTTTCTTGTTTTCTTAGTTTCACTTTTTATTATTTAGCCAATAATAAAAAATGAGAAGTTTTTTTTTTTTGTAAATGCAATGCATTTTAGTGAAGCTGCACTGAGCAGTGAACGCATTAGGGGTGAATAATAAGTTAAAAAGAGTTGAGCAGAGTGAGATAAAAGTAAAAAGGGACAGATGTCCAGTGGAAAACACAGAGCCTCAAAGTGGAAAATTTTTTTTTTTTTTAATTTTTTTTATTTTATTTTTTTTTAATTTTTTTTATTTATATTATTTATTTTTTTTTTTTTTATTTTTTTTTTTATTTTTATAAAATTTATTTATATTCTTTATTTTGATTGATCCTACCAACAAATTCATTTATACTGAGATCAATTCTTTGCTAATCAGTTAAGGTTTCATATGTAAATGCCATGTAGAATTCAGTGGGCATATTTACCCAAAAAGTATGATTTAAATTCTTTTTTTCATAAAAATCAGACTTGATTTAACAACATTTTGGTTATTAAAATTTATGTGTTGATTATTATATATATATATTTTTTTTATTTACAAAAATATGTGTTAAAAAAGTCTTGTAATTAATGATAAAAAGAAGATTTCTAATTTCATATTTGGCATGATTATGATATATGATATAGCGCCTTGTTTTATATTGTTGTAACAGGCTGATTGTAATGATTGTAAATTATAGAATGTCTCATGGTAGACAGCAACATTATTCCTTTTGTCAATTTATTGTAATTATGGCCCTTTCTCTCCCTCCCCCCTCCTCCGTCAGACAGTCACATATTTTTAGAACAGCCCTCTCTAACAACTTTGATGTTATTTCTTAACTAACATAAGTATTAATATATTGACTATGTACTAAATAGACATTTTATTTTACATTAGCAAATGTGGTTCAACGCCCATTGGCTTCAAATCTTATTTCCCGAGTTGGCTATTTGATTAACGATAGATATGATCAATTTGGACGTCATCTTGGTTTAGATGTCTATGATCTTAGGAACATTAATCAAAACCATGCAACAGCTCAAGCAAAAGCGGTAGCTGTTATTGAAATGTGGATTGAGTCTAGAGGGAGACAATCATGGGTAGAGTTAAAAGAAAAGTTGATAACCTTTCGTTGTCTAGCAATAGTTCAAATTATTGAGAAAGAGTTTCCATTAGGTAAGTAACATGTTTATACTGATAAATACTCAAGTTTTTTAAAAAAATTTAGTTTTATTTTATTATAACATTCAATGCAAAATTTATTGTTTCTTTATAAAAATATAAACATTTTGCATAAAATACCTATTAATATTACCTTACTTATTTATTTTTTTTATTATTCAGTTTCATTTTATTTCTAATAATTTATATTTATTGAAAAAACATTGTTAATTGTTTTTATAATTTTTTAATTTTAATTTTTTTTTGCAGCTTCAAAGCCTGATAACTAGAGGTTAAGAAATTTTAAAACTTTGTCAGAAATTTTCAGTGTTTGTTCCTTAACCATAAAGATTTTAGATAAAATAATCAACTAAGAATAGTTTTATAAACTCTTATATCTCTTTTATTTTTAAGTATTGTGCCCTGTTTCTGATATTTTAATTATAATTTCATTCTTTAACGTGAAATGAATGATATTAATATAACGAAGGTATAAATAAAAAGTTATTAACTTTAAGACAAAATTGATTAAGAAACAGTGTTTCAAAATTTTTAATAAATTTTTTCAAATTTACCTCTTACCTCTGATTTTTTAAATTTGCTTTACTTATAATTAATTTATCGTTTTTTTTATGAAATATGTACAGAGCAGTTGACTCAATTCTATTATGATAACAGAATTAAATCAACTGCCCCTGCTCGTAACACTAAATTAAATCAACTGCCCCTGCCTTCGTAACACTAAAAGACCATAAACCAAATTTTCAAAACAAACTTTCTTGTAGGTTATTGGTTCCCTCAAAAAGTGAGATTGGACACGTATTCAAAATTAAAATAGACAAAATTAATAATATCCTTAGAGATAAATTAAATTTGCAAAAGTGGAAAAATGCAACTGATGTTTGTAAATTGATTCTCTGTAATCGAAAATAAAAATTAGTGTTCATTTATTCAATTTTACATTAATCATTTTTAGGCCTCAATAACTGCTAACATTTTAGATAAAGCAATTGAATTTCCAAAAAGCCACACAGTTATTTCTGAAGATACAATCCGTATAATAAAACATTGTAGAAAAACCTTACTTTCTTTTAATAAGGAAACTAGGAAAAAAACAACATACATGACTGCTTTGACGTAACAATGGTCAGTTATGACGGAGCAGAAATTGTGAATTTGTTGGACTATACATTTTAGATTTATTAAGTAATGTAATCAATATAAATGATTTAGGCCTTTGTTGCAATGATAGTTTAATAGTAATGCGTCAAGAAAGTTCACAATTTTTAAATTTATGTTTATTTCGATTTTGAAAACCAATATTTTTAAAAATTTTTATATCTTTTGTAAATTTATCAAGCTGTAGACCAGATTTTTTATCTGGTCTACAGCTTGATAAATTTACAAAAGATATAAAAATTTTTAAAAATATTGGTTTTCAAAATCGAAATAAACATAAATTTAAAAATTGTGAACTTTCTTGATGTCACATTAAACCTCTCAAAAAATTCATATAAGCTTTTCAAAAAACCAAACAATGAGTTATTTTATATTAATATTAACTCAAATCATTCATCCCAAAATCTAAAACAAATTCCGATTTTAATTAATAACGGGCTAAACCAAAACTCCTCTATTGAAAATTTATTCAATTCCTCTACACAAATATTTGAAGATGCCCTTAGAAATAGTGGTTTTGAAAATTTTAACTATAATTTGACCCTGAAAAAAAGAATACCAAAAAGCGATATAGAACTAGAAAAGTAATTTGTTTAAACCACCCATATTGTAAAAATAATTCCACTAACATAGATGTAATTATAATGTTTTTAAAATTGGTCATTAAGCATTTCCTGCCCTCTAGTAAATTGCATAAAATTTTTATTTTATTTTGTAATACAAATATGGAAAGAATTATAAAAGGTCACAATAAAGCTTTGTTAAACAAAAAAGAAATCCTAAATGAAAAAACTACAGAAAATTGTAACATAAAAGCATAAAAACATAAAAACAATTGTCCAATGAGTGGAAGTTGCTTATCAAAAAATGTGGTATATAAATGTGTTGTTTTCTCTAAAAATGTACCTGATAAACAATACATTGGCATAACAGAGAGTGAATGGAAAAAACATTTTTCCAAACATAAGTAATTTTTTCAAAAATAAAAAGCATTCAAAAGACACCATGTTGTAAAAATATAAATGGGAACTTAAAAAATCAAATTCCAAAAAACTGATGTTCAAGGAAAAACAAAAAGAATTTTAAGGAAGAATTTTAAAGGATTTTAAAGCACTTAGAGACTTAGCACTTTTTAAAGTCACAGAAAAAAGATGAGACTAAATGACGAGTAACACGAAAATGAATTTTATTAAATGGCACAAGAAACGCTGGCTCTTTAGAGCAGTGCCCATTATAGTAGAAAAGAGAAAGAGAAGCAACATTACAACGATGTTATGTCAGCATAATCCACAAATTTGTGAAAATTTACAGTAGTTAAGACATTTGCGACTTCCTGTAATTTAATTTTGTTGGGTAAAATTTGAAGTTTAATAAATTTGATCATTCATTTCTGATGAGTCTTCATTGATGAAACACAGTGTAAAAGGGAAAAAAAATTTTGTTAAGAGATTTTCTACTAATTTAATTTATATATATATATATATATATATATATATATATATATATATATATATATATATATATATATATATATATATATATATATATACATATATATATATATATATATATATATATATATATATATATATATATATATATATATATATATATATATATATATATATATATATATACATATATATATATATATATATATATATATATATATATATATATATATATATATATTCATATATATATATATATATATATATATATATTTATTTATTTATATATATATTTATTTATATATATATATATTTATATATATATATATATATATATATATATATATATATATATATACATATATATATAAATGATCTTAAAAAAGCTTGCAATTTAAAGATTATAATTTTTGCAAACTTAAACTTGTTTCAGTCACATGGAAATATAAAAATACTTTTTAAAACTGAGAGTTTGAAAAATTTTTATTTTGATATAAAAAAATTTGCAATACTAATATCTTTAGGGTATCTTACCTCTGCTTTTCCTAATCTACATAAATGACATATTTTATCTTCCAGTATATTGAACTTCATTTTTTTTTCAGATGATAAGCTTTTATTACCCACTCTAACATTATTACACTTTTGAAAACAGTAAATCAGGAACTTGAAGAGTTGAGCAATTGGTTTGAAGCAAACAAACTTTCTGTCAATATTGAGAAAAGTAATTATATCTTTTTTCACAAAACCATACAATTCTGTATGGTTTTGTGAAAAAAGATATAATTACCAAACTACCATTAAAACTTCCAGATATTCTATTAGACAAAGTTAGACTAAATCAAGCATTCTCAGTTTAATTTCTCGGGGTGTTATTAGATGAACATATTAGCTGGTAAGTCCACATTAATATATTAAAAAACAAAATATCTAAAAACATTGAAATTATGCATAAAACCAGATATATTTTAAATAATGTATGCCTTAAAAGTTTTTATTTTGCAAATATACATAGCTATACTAACTACTGCAATATTGCCTGGGCTAGTACCTACCATTCAAAACTAGATTTAATATATAAAAAACAAAAAAGAAGCATGCCGTATATTTACAAATGCAAATAGAAATGCTGATTCTAAACATTTAATGAGGGAACTGAGAGTTCTTAATATCTACAAACAAAATATATATTGCATTCTTCAGTTCATGTTTAAACTCAAAAATGATCTAGTCCCTGAAGTCTTCCATAACTATTTTCACCTTATTAATCACAAATATCAAACAAAATACTCTATCAAGAACTGCTATATTCTGAAAACCTTTTTAACACAATCTAAATTCTCAATATCCAGCAGAGGACCCCAATTGCGGAACTCATTTCTAACAAATAAAATAAAAACAATAAACTCATTCCAACATTTTAAATGCGTTGTAAAGCGACAGCTAGACCTCAACATTAATAAAAGAATCTCTTATTTTTAAAATTTTTTCTAAATTTAAATATTTTTCCTTTTTCAATTTAAATCTTTCTTGAAATTCTTGAAATTCTATTATATTCCTTGCTTGGTTATTTAATGATCTTCATTGTAGAAAATTAAAAAAAAAAAATCATATGTTTTATAAATATTTTATTATATTTGTATTTGGTTTATATTTTGTTATACTTTGTCAACAACGAAAATGGGGCAAGATAATAAGACTATTGTCTTCTACTTGCTTCAGTCATATATTTCAAAGTAAAATGTTGTATATAATTATATTAATAATGACAAATAAAAAAATATATATTAAAAAAAAATCTTTAAATACTGATAAAACAAAATGGATACTTTACTATCCAAACTATAAAAATTGATAGCATGGTTTTTTTATAGACTAGTCAAAAGCCTTTGTTTTTATAATTGATCATAATTTTTTTGCTTAAAAAACTTGAATGCAGGAGAAACTATAAGTTAGTTGAAAAAGCTTTCAGTTAATAAACTTCAGCTAGCGATTAGTATGCTGAAAACAAATAAGAGTGCAGGACTGGATGAACTTAACCGTGCTGTTGTATATTATAGAGAAACTTCTTTTTTATAATTTTTAATCTTTCTTAAAAAGACAGCATTTTTCCTGACCAAATAAAAATAGCAAAAATAATTCCAACATGCAAAGGCAGCGGTGACTCAATAAAATCTAACTACAGACCAATTTATGTACTTTCTTGTTTTTCTAAAAACAAGGGCATATTATGCACAACAGACTGTACATTGTTCTCCTAAATAAGCAATAAGTGTCAACTCAAATTCCAAAGAAACCACAATATGCCTGTGAAAGCTTATGACTCCTGGATTCCAAAAATATAAAAAATCAAATCATCCTATTACGTCAGAGAAAGAAAATAACTTTTGAAAATTTTTATTTTGCACATATTCATAAAATGACAGCATTCTCAAAATTTTACATTTTTACAGCATATCTTAACATTCAAAAAGCTCTTTGAAAATAATAAAACCTACTTAACATAATAAAGAAACAAAAAATATGAAAATGTGAAAGTTTTTATGTTATAAAATTGGTAGTAATCCAAATAGGTAAAAGATCTCTTGGGTAAAATATTGCTTTTCTGAAAGTTTTTTCTAATAAGTTAACTCTAGAATAATTTCAATAATAGTTTGGTAGTAATCCAAATAGGTAAAAGATCATGTGAGTAAATACAAAAGAAATATTTTTAAAAATTCCACATTTAAAGCAACAACATTCTTGACAAAAAAAATTCTTTACAAGTTCTTAACAGTTCACAGACATTTGCTGTTATAATCAACTAGGCACATTTCTAGCCATTTTCCATAATCTGGAAGGTTGTTTGTATCATTGCCAATGGTTCTGAAAACGATGATGAATAGATTCTGTTGCTTGCTCACTGTAGATTCCAAGAGGAGACCTTGTTTTTTGGATGAAGTCCTTAACATGAAAAAACACTGCATGTACTTTTGGAGTGATGTTTCCTCTTGGCAATGCCAAATATAAATCTCTGACTGAATCAATTTTTTCTGCATAAGTGCAACCCAACTTGTTGCCAAACTTTCGAAAGCTGTCAATGATGCTGAAAACTTGAAAGGCACTGTCATTTTCAGCCAGTGTTTGGAGAAGGTCGAGATTTTTGAGGAGCTTGTGGCAATCATTCCCTGAAAATTGACCACCATAAAAAGGTTGGGGCAGACTTTAAGAAAACCTCCACCACCATCTATTCCAAGTTTAATGATGTGTTATGAGAAAACCTTCCTTGAAAGTAGAACTTCTTCAGTGAGTGCTTGGAGATTGCAATGGACAACAACACTTTAAGACTTCTTTTGATCTGAACTAATGAATGTTGTTGGGGTTTGTGTAAAGTGTTCTTCTAGACTTTTTCCGAGATCCTGAAACTTGTGCAATATATTTGGTTCCAGAACTTTGGCAGACGAAACATGCCTAATGGTGGAAGTCAGTTTTTTTATTCCACTGTTTGACAATCCTGTATTTAGTTGAACTTGAGAAAGATCCTTTGCGGTGACTACAGTTGGATCTTTGAACAACTGCTTAGAGCAAGAAGGACCTGTTAAAGTGTAAAGTATAATATTTCAGTTACTTAAATGTGATGGTCAACCTTAATGAAGAATTATATACAAACCTTGTGTGATTGGGAGCAGTCCTCCTTCTTTTGGCTGCACAAGTCTAATGGTTCCACAAGGAGAAGATTCTTTGCTGACAATTGTTGAGCTGGCAATTTGTTCTGCCACAATTCCATCAGATTTTGAAAGCTCCTTTAAGTTTTTAGGAAACTGTGATGAAGAGCAATAATGGGGTAAACCTCGACCAATAAGAGAGAGACATGTAGAACATCTTCTGTCTGATGTTTTCTCTCCAGTTTTGTTCTTTCAAGAGGGTGTTTCTCTGTCAGTTCAAGTCGCCCTATGTCTCAAATCAAGCATTCACAAGCTTGACCACGTGTGTGAACTTTTATATCAATGGTTTCAAATTGAAACAGCTTGGGCAAAACGACCTTCTGCCGTTGATCACACTTTCCAAGGGCCAGTCTACATGGATCACAAAGACTTTGAGGAATTCTTGAATCATCAAAGTTGAACTGCTTTTTGTAGTTGTTTTGAATTTTGCTGACCAAAAATGGTGTCAATTCACGATTTCCTTTTCTAAGACACATGATTCAAACAACTTTTCTGTTCTCATCATGACTTTTTGCATGATTAGGCATTTTCAATTTATTTCATGAGAAAAGGTTAAAAAATCAATCTTCAAAAGCTTTGATTTGTAGTAAACTGCCTTTTCCCGGATTTTTTTGGTAAATTCTTAAAAATATTTTAATCCGGCTCCAACTGGAAAATCTGAAGTAAACGTTGAATGTGATTTTCTTTCACTTTTGGATGTTGAGTATGAAACTTCGCACAGAGTTTTCAACACCATAAAAAAGTCACTCGAGAATATAGAAGTCGTAAATTGCAATAAAAAACTAGTTGGATTTGGTGCGGATGGCGCATCCGTTAACAGAGGGAGCAAGTCAGGCGTTAAAATGTTGCTCAAGGCTGAAGTCCCCTGGATCACGTTTGGCTGGTGTGTAGCACATCGTCTCGAGTTATCATTAAAAGAAAAATTAGGAAAAACAGCCTCATTCAATGACGTTGATTACATGATTTTAAAAATGCATTACATTTACAAAAAATCCCCCAAAAAGTTAAGACATTTGGGTGAACTCGTTTCTATTATAGAAGATGATGAATATAACATTGGTGGTTTCCGACCTAAGAAAGCCTCCGGTATTTTCTTTTTTTTGCTTGATTTATTTATCTTATATTTATTACCATTACAGTTATGCGTGACGCCTATATTTTTAGTTTTTGCAAGTATAAAGTAAATTATAAATTGTATAATCTTGTTTCATTTTTAGGTACACGATGGATTTCACATAAAGTTCAGGCTTTAGAAATGATTTTAGATAAATACGGTGTTTATTTAACACATCTGGAAAATATGACTGAAGATATAACATTTACCAATGCTGAAAGAGCTAAGTTTAAAGGATACCACAAAAAGTGGATTCATGCTAGAATGCCTCTTTATATCGCGTTGTTTATTGAGATTTTAGCACCAGCAAAGATGTTGTCAAAATGTTTTCAAAGTGATGAGATAGATGTGTTGGCTTCATCAGGGTTTGTTCAACAAGCTAAAAGCCATTTAAATCGTATTCAAAAAACAAAGTTTATTAATTTGCCAACAGTAAAACGTTTTCAAAGCCAAAGTGACTGAAAAAGAAGGAAAGTTTTATTTCCAGGGTGTTGCACTTAACGACTTTGTAAATGCTAAACATTTAGTAAAGTCTAAATCTATTCATATCGAGTTGGTAACAAATTCAATCATAGAGCGTTTGGAAACAAGCGATACTATTACTGATATGTATGGTACAAAAGTTTTAAATACAGAAGGTTGGCTTCAAAGTATTGAAAATGAAACATTCCTGGATGAAGGAATAGAAAATCTTTTTGACTTTTATAGAGCGCCGTTGCGACATGCTGGTTTTGCAGGAACTGTAAATGATGTTTTGGATGCTTGGCATAGCTTGGTAAACTACACTGTAAAATATTTAGCACCACATAATACCGGTTATCGTAAGTTATGGCATCAAATTTTTTCTAGCTCAATGAAAAATGAATCGGTTCCGGTTTTACTTATTGCCGAACTATTATTTACTTTGCCTGTTTCTAATGCGAAAGTTGAACGCCTTTTTTCACTAATGAATAGAGTAAAAACGGATACAAGAAACTCTCTGAAAGAGAAACGTTTAGAAAATTTAATTTGAGTAAGTTTCGATGAAAAAGATTCCAATTTATTTGATTTAAGTTCTGCTATCGAGTTATGGACTAATGATGCCGTGCGAAGGCCAAAACAATCAGTAAGAAAATGCTATTCCAAAAAAGCAAAAAAAGCAGGATTAAAAACAATAATCGACTTGGATTCATCATCTAACGAATCAAGTAATGAATAGCGCAAAACAAGATTATTTTTTCTCACCTTTTTTTAGTTTAAAAAAGTTTTAATAATCAAATATTGGTTAAAAAGTTCATTACCTTTTTATTGTGTCATTTTTGTTAAAAAACGATCATTATATAAAAAACAATTGTTCGAGTCACAAAAAATATTTTTACGTCACTTAAAAGGCAACGCGTTGAAGTGAAAAAGTGAATTAAGAGCTAAGTTTAAAAGTAAAAACTATAAACGATAACGCGGACGTACGCTGTTGTATTTAAAAACCAATAGCGTTCAGCTAGTGTTCTAAAAATAGATTTTTTTAGTACTAAAAGGCATTAAGGTAAAGATATTTTAGAAAATTGCACAAAATCAATAGAATTTTCTAAAACGCACTTTATTGTAGGTTGATAGCGGTAAAACAAACAATTTGACGTCACCTAAAATGTACGCTATTAAAGAAAAAGTTAAGAAAAATTTGATCGTCTGGATAATTTTTTGGTCGTCTACTTTATTACTTTTATTATTTCTGCCGATCAGTGTTGATCGGCAACCTTCAAATAATTATTTCGAGCGCTGGATGGCATAAGAGACGCTAGCTCTTTAGAGCAGTGCCCATTATAGTATTTGTAAAAAAGAGAAAGAGAAGCAACATTACGACAATGTGATAATGGTTGATGGTTGGCTCAATTAAATTAAATTTAAAAAGCCAAATAAAGTCAAGAATAAAATTTCAAAGGCTCTGGGGATTATTTACAAGACAAAACATTGTTTAAATAAATAATATTTAAAAAAATTTTACTATTTATTTATACATAGTCAAATTAACTATTGTAATATTGCTTTGGCAAACAATTGTACTTCTTTCATTAAAAATATTTATACAAAGCGATTACAAGTCAATTAGTTTTGGTCCCAGATTGGTACAAAAGTGCTGAGCTGTTACTCAAGGAAATAAATGCTCTAAACATATATGAACTGAATATCTACCAAAACTTGTTATTTAAGTTTAAATTTTAAAATCAATTAATTCGGAAGTATTTATATATAAACTTTTCTATAATTAATCATAATTATGATTAATTATAGAAAAGTTATTATAGATTGGTACAAAAGTGCTGAGCTGTTACTCAAGGAAATAAATGCTCTAAACATATATGAACTGAATATCTACCAAAACTTGTTATTTAAGTTTAAATTTTAAAATCAATTAATTCCGAAGTATTTATATTTAAACTTTTCTATAATTAATCATAATTATGATTAATTATAGAAAAGTTATTATAGATTGGTACAAAAGTGCTGAGCTGTTACTCAAGGAAATAAATGCTCTAAACATATATGAACTGAATATCTACCAAAACTTGTTATTTAAGTTTAAATTTTAAAATCAATTAATTCCGAAGTATTTATATATAAACTTTTCTATAATTAATCATAATTATGAAACAAGACACTCAATTATGAAAAAAGTTGTTAAATTAGTCGAAAATAAGGTAACTTTTGTTACCTTAATATATATATATATATATATATATATATATATATATATATATATATATATATATATATATATATATATATATATACATATACATATATATATATATATATATATATATATATATATATATATATATATATATATATATATATATATATATATATATATATATATATATATATATATATATATATATATATATATATTAAGGTAACATAAAAAAAGTGTTCAAAATTTCACCCTCAATTCTTTATTGTGTTTCTTTTAACTAAAAAACAAACTGTGCAAAAATTTATTATGATGTTTTGATATCTAGGCGTTGCTCAATGAACTTGATGTTATCAGATTTTAGGGTCAACGGTAAATAAAACAAATGTATTTAATTTTTTTTTGGATGCAAAGTTTTAATTTTTTTATTTAAATTTAATGTTTATTTTAATCAGATTTGGATACATATTGTTCACTTGTTGGTTGTTCACTTGTTTTCATTAATGCCTTCACAACTGTTGATTTTTACATATCTGGAATTCGATGTCAATATATAACACAGTTTGTAAAACATATAGCAAATGAGTTTCACCCCTCTTTTGGCTGTGTCATTCACAACTTTTATAGAGTTAACAATTTTGGATGCTCCCTGGTATTTGGTTACTCCATGTGTCCAAGCAATGATCCTTCATAAATGTCCAATTTATTCCATGCACTTCAAATAATATTTGTTACAAAGTCATCTAAGTTTATTTTATTATTATTACATTACTATTATTTATTATTATTACATTACTATTATTTATTATTATTACATTACTATTATTTATTATTATTATATTACTAGCCCAGTACTACCAAAGTTGTAGTTAAGAGTTTTATATTATATGTATGTATGTAAAATATGTATAAGGATATAAATTTGATAACAAAACATCATTTTATATATTACTTTTATAAAATTTAGAATTTTAGTAATTGTAAAAGAATTTAAAGCTTTAAAAATGTTATAAAGTAATGATTTGTTACATAAAAAAGAAAAAAAAAAGTTTACATAAATTAAAGAATTATTTTTCCACATTTAAATTTAATTTTAAAGTTTTTGTTTGTAAGGAAAACTTCATTATATCATTTAGAGACAAGTTTACCAGAAATATCTTTCGGATTTTCTGCCAATAAAGGTAATTTTAATATTTGGTTTAAACTTACTGAGTTTTTACTATATTCTTAAAAAAATTGCAACAATTAGGTTTCAATGTGCTTTGTTTGTATCAAAAGCTTATTAGAAAAGTCTGTTGAATATTTATTGAGAGGATGACCTTCATTAAGCTTCAAAAAAAATTTTATTTCTTCAATTAAAATAAATTAACTTTAAAAACAAAACAAAAACTTCCATCAAAATCATTACATTATCATTAATACTTGAGTAAATCAATTTATTTAAATAAAAGAATAACTTTATAAATTTAATAAAATTTTTTGTCTCAATCATTTTTAAATATTCCTCTACTAATCTTTATTTTTGTCTTAACAACTGTCAAAATATGCTTTGTTCAAAAAATAATTCTCCTTTATTTTATTGTACTTCATTTCTTCCTTCAGACGCTCATTGCTTGCCTGTGACCATTCTGCAACTTTATATGCCAAAGTTTTTAAATAACTTTTTATTTCAATACCCAACCATAAAGAAACATAATCTTAACAATTGTGAATGTTTCTTATTGTTCAACGTTCATAATAAGATATTGAGTATTTTATATTTGCAATATTTAATGAAACCAGGTAATCAATCAATAAAATAACATTTCCTTACTTTGGGTTGTGACCTGAAATAATTTTATAAATAATTGTATAGCAATTGATATACAATTATTTATAAAATTAAATTTATAGTTTATATTAAAAGAAATATTTTTTATTACAGTGTTGCTAGAATAATATACATGAAACTTTTTTTTTGTAATATTTAAAAGCAAGAATAAATTTTTCTTTTTTGTAATTTCTATAAAACAAAAATTTAATAATTTTTGAATAAGTATCTATTTTTAAGTTATCTAATTACTATTAAATAATTGTTTAACTTCATTAAGTTGCATTTTTATATGTTAGCTTGTTTATCATTGTTTTATTTATCTAAGTTAAGAGAGTTTACCATGTCAGTTATAATTTTTAGAAGAAGCAACATCACAACTTTGCGCAAGTTACTAAACACAACTAACTTTTTTTTTTAATAAATTATAAATACTTGTATAGCAATTTATAAATTAATAAAATAATAAATAGTCCATAGCTTGTAATTTTTGATTGTTCATCCTATATGTCTACCATTTATTTCTATCATCTATTTACTATTTACAATTGTAGAAAAGTTTTGTCTAATGCAAAAGCCGCTATTCTTAAGTCACTAAATCTTAAATTTCATCTCAAAAAACTTCTGGAGTATCTTTAACATTGTCTTTAATGAGTGCTAATTTTTTATTCCATTTCTCTTGCATGGTTTAGATTTTGTTTTGTTTTTATATTTTTTATTTTTTTAAATATGATCATGAATTATAATTGTTTTTAAGTTTGATTAAAATATTTTAGCACTTAAAAGATACTGCTAAATGAAACTCATTTTTTGGACTTTTAATTTTTTAGAAAAAAGGGTGGAAAAAAAAAACCTGTGAACCTGTTACAAAATATTAGTTAATAAAACTTAAAGTGTTAATAAGTCTGAGGTTTAATTAACTGACTAAAAACATCAAAGTACGAGCAGTGCAAGGTGGTTCAAAAAACAACACTTTAAAAAGCATATGTATTTGTACCCTTAATTTATTCAATTTAATAAAATAACTTATTAAAAAATATTTTTAGAGGTAGTACCAGACCTTTAACATCAGTCATTTGTTAATTAAATAAATTGCAATAATTTATATGGAATGTGGCGTAATTCTTTAAGTAAATATATTCATGGTGTAGGCAAATCGTTGTATTATTATTCATTTCAATCCCAACATTTTATATAGGATTTAATCCAGAAGAGTTTTCTAGCCAATCAAGTAATGAAAAATTCTTTTCTTTTAGGTATTTTTGATTAAACTGTATGATATGGAACCCCGTTCTACATAAAAGTTTTGTTTTTCACCTGGACCAAACCATTCTGCCAATTATGGCAACAATCTTTGTTCCAGGGCTTTTTTATATTGCAACTGATTAATTATTCTCTAAATATTATATTGCATCCCCATTCCCCTTTTACATATCATAGACCAGATCATCACAGAAGTGGGGTGTTTAACAATTTGAATGATAAAGTTCAATAAGTTTTTTTCCCTTTTTTTTCTCCTTTACATATTGAGCCTTCTTTGTTAACACTTAAAAAGTACTTTTGTTGCTAAAGTATACTTTAAAATATTACATAAGGATTGTTGAGTAAATCTTTTTTGATGTAAAGTTTGAAGTAAGAAAATGAATATTTTAAAATCATTTGAATTAATATTATTGATTTTATTGATCCAACCATCTTCCATTAAATTTCTGTATTTTTTTGCCCACTCCAGCTTTTTTTGCATTATTTTTGGTGTCAGTTTAGGTTTCTTAGTCGGACGTCATGAAATGTAATAAAGATTAGGATTACAGTAATTGACTTTAATTAGAGTTAGGGTAAAACATCTAGTACTCCCCATGCACTCTTATGCTTCTTGGTATTTAAAATTTACCTCTCCATGCTATTTGGTCTTTAAAAAAATTATGTGTCTTAATTTATAAAATTGTCAAAGTTTTAGTCAGTTATGATGCAAACATCAGAGTTTTTTTTAAACATAATTTCAAAAGTTTCTAGCTATTACTTTTTGGTCTGCATGAAAATGAGTTACAAAGGTAGATTAGTATGTGAAAAAAATCTTTAATATATTATTTAATTGTTTATACTAGGGGTCGCCAATCTTAGCCTGCAAGCATCATGTGGTTTTTTTATTTCAAGATGCAGCTCTTTAGCCCCATGCACAAATTTATATATATATATATATATATATATATATATATATATATATATATATATATATATATATATATATATATATATATATATATATATATATATATATATATAGATATAGATATAGATATAGATATAGATATAGATATAGATATAGATATAGATATAGATATGGTTGTTATCAAGAATGCTAATAAATAGAATTATGACTAAATATAATTAGTACTAAATACAATTACTATCAAATAAACTACGACTAAATAGAACTGCTACTAAATATAATTACAAATAAATATAATTACTACTAAATATAATTACTTATAAATATAATTACAGTTAAGTATCGTTACGATTAAATATAATTACAACTAAATATAATGACTCTTAATTATAATGTTTTAGTAGTACTAAAGTTTAGTTGTACGTTTTAGTAGTACTAAAACGTACCAAAGAATACTTTTATAAGTACTGCTTTTTTTTTAAATTTTCATTTATGTTATATTTATATACACTCTATGATTCTATTTCAATGTTTTATTTATATAAAAACGTGTTTTTGTATTATAAATAAAACATAATTATAGTAATGGATAACATTACCATAATTATGTTAACTAATGTTATTTTTATTAAAAAGTATTTTATCAACTTATTAAAATTCTATTTAGCTTCCGGAAGTGTTTTGTATACATTATGTCAATTATAATATAAGCAACACTTTTACTACAAGGTAAAAAGGGAGGAGGGACTATTGAATGTTGATGTAATTTTATAGGAGGTCTCTGGAAGTTTGGCAAGTCTTTGGCAAGGGGAAGGGGAGCTGAAAACAACCAATAAATTCTTGACAAAGTTAATGGAGAGTGACTTGTATAGTTATAAACTAGTTTTTAGAGTAAAACCTAAATAAAATAATCAAGTAAAATAGATTAAAGTAGTAATAAAGGTATGATATAAAAAGTAATAAAAAAACTAAAAAGTAAAAAGTAAACCAAAAAAAGTATAAAAGTAAACCAACAAAAATAAAAGTATATGGTAAAGTAAGTGTTTCCAACAGCACTATACAATACACATAAATATATGCCAGTACAAAACAATACACAAAAATACCCCAAAGGTTTTCAAATACTCAGATATACATGCAATATATGCAATGCACAAAATGCACAAAATGCACAATATATGTAGTGCACAAAAGTATAAATCTTTATACATGACAGTATAAATAGAAATTTATGACAATATAAACATTGCACAGAAATACACTCCAACATAAGCAATGGGCAAAAATACAATACAGTCTAAATTAAATAAAACTTTTTAAGTAATTTTATTCTAATATTAAAACTTCTAGTTCATCTATTTAGAGACTTAATTGCTTTTTGTTAACAGTGAATTTTTTAAGTTTTGGCAAAACTAAATATCTTCACTAAAAGTTTAGATTTTTGCAAATTTAAAAAAAAATTTTAACTTTCAGTGTGTAGAAAATATAAAATATAAAAAAAAATTGTTAAAATAATTGGTTTAATAAGAAATTTAAGTTCAAACAAATTATGACTCTTAAAATCAAATTAAGGCTTTTTTAAAAGTTAGGTTCTTAGCATGAAAGATCAATTTAAAGGCAATTTCGTTGGAGCTTTTCTGCTAATTCCAAAAATAGTTTTAGATTTTAAAAAAATTACTTCAAATTAAATTATTAATCCATTAAAAAGTTTTAGCAGAAAAAAAATTTTTTTTTAGTTTTTATCTTAAACAGGGCACTATACTTCCTAAAATCAATTAAAAGTTAATAGCTTAATATGTTTGTTATTTTTCTATTTTTTTAAATTTATTTAATTTATTTTATTATTTTTTCAAGCTGATTGAATTTTTTTCATTTGGATTAAATAAGTTTTCATACTTTCATGATAATTTTGTACATATACACTTACACTCTTGAAGTGCAAAAGTACAATTTTCAATTTCAATTTCAAAAATCTTTATTTTTTAAATTTCTAAATCTCTAAAAGAGAAGCCTTATACTGAGGAGACATTGAAAAAAGCATTATATATATATATATATATATATATATATATATATATATATATATATATATATATATATATATATATATATATATATATATATATATATATATATATATATATGTATATATATATATATATGTATGTATATATATATATATATATATATATATATATATATATTTATATATATATATATATATACATATATATATATATATATATATATATATATATATATATATATATATATATATATATATATGTATGTATGTATATATATATATATATATATATATATATATATATTTATATATATATATATATACATATATATATATATATATATATATATATATATATATATATATATATATATATATATATATATATATATATATGTATATATATATATATATATATATATATATGTATATATACAATAATTATTGAGCTTATATACATTATAATGTATATAAGCTCAATTTTACCCCATACCAAAATAAATTTTTCCAACTGAAAATAAAACAAGACTTCAGTAGTTGGTAGTCGCGTTACAACAACAAACATTTTGGTTTGGCCAAAAAAAACATTTTGGTTTGGTAAAGCCATGAATTATTGGAATTTTGACGAAACTAGTTTCAATGGTGACAAAGTCAAAGAATCCACTCGTATTAACTGGAAATAACAAAAAAGTAAACTACACTGTTCCTAATTGTGCTGATCGATTCCTTCTATTGCCTTTTGTTGTTTACAAATCAAAGAAATTTAGTTGTTTACAAATCAACTCTATAGTGATTAGATTAAAGGAGTTTTGAAAACACTGGGCTCTTCTTAAAAATGAAAAGCTTGAGATGCAAGTTTTATAAAAATCTTGTTTAAAATCAAGTTGCAGTTTGTGGCTCTGTGAGCTCTGCTTCTGTTTGCACAAAAAGTTGCAAAGCCTAGTTTATAATTTTTTCTTTATTATTTCAAGCTTAAGCTTGCTTATGCTTATTTATTATTTTTAGTTTTTTCTGCTTGTATTGTTATCATGTGTATATTTTAACATTAAAAATAAAGATATTGAATTTATCAATTTATCTTTTTTTTTCATGTATTTTAAACTGTCCGCCTTTGGGGACAATTTTCCAATATGCTGAAATTTTTTTAAAAAATAAAATTTTATTTTAAATAGAAACTTGAAATTTTTAAATCTTTTTTTACACTGTTCAATTGCTCTAATAAACAACTTTATTTCAGAAAAAAAATCCTAAAAGTTCTCAATATTAAAAAAGTTATTTTTAGTTAATGAGAATTTTAAAGCTTTTTGTGAATAGTGTCTGCATTGCTTTTACTCTACCTACTTGTTTTTTAATAAAAATAACATTAGTTAAATTCTAGAAAAATCTTTTTGTTATAGAAAAAAAAATCAAATATGTTATATGCAATGCAAAATAAACTGAGAATTAAACTTCAATTTTAATTGTCAAAACTTGAGAAAAAAAGGAAAAGTTCATCAAGTTAAAACAACAATAACAAAACAACCTATAATTTACTTTCAGACTAAAAAAAAAAGTTTAATAAAATAAAAACTATACAACAGTATACAAACAAAGGGTTCTACGACAACATTATGTCAAAAAGATTTCAACTCTATGTACAATGTGTAGTCAATAAACAATTATTATGCACTTAGCAACCTGTAAAATGGGCATTATTGTGATACCAAGAAATATCTAACATCTTGGTAACAGGCTGGAGAGAAGGGGTTTCATTAATGAAAGCACAATTACCCCAAACTATTTTTTAAACAGTTCAAGTTTTTTTTTTCAAAATGGCATAGATGCAGTGTTATAACATTTTATTATTTGTGATTGTTACGATTCAAGACATTGTTTTTAAAATAGTTAAATATTCAATAATAAATAATAAATTTAAAATAGTTGATAGTACAAAATTCTTACAACAAAAAGCATACGATAAAGACAAACCAAAGTAAAAAAATAACCCTAACAAAAAATTTTATTGTTAACTTGATAAAAACAATATAGTAGCACAAAATGACAATAACATGAACATCCGTAAAAACTGGTTTTATAATGTGTTACTAGTAAACATTATTTTTATCTTTTTGTTGTGTTAGTTGTGTAGGATAAGCATTATAAAAAGTAAAGTTTTTGCATGACTATCATTTAGATTCTTCAAATCCACTAGATGTTGCTAGCAGAGCTAATGTCAATAAAGGTAATAAGAGTAGTTCGAACTTTAATTAATCTTAAATAAAAAGTTTTTTAGAAATTTAACTTTACACTACTTTTTAATTTTTACAGATTTAATAATATAATAATAATTATATAATAATAATAAATAAATCAAAAGTTACAAGCAGATAATGATGATGACGATGATGATGATGATGATGATGATGATGATGATGATGATGATGATGATGATGATGATGATGATGATGATGATGATGATGATGATGATGATGATGATGATGATGATGCTGATGATGGTGGTGGTGATAATGATGATGATAATTGATGTTTAGGTATATCAGAGGTATGCACAGCACTAAAAAATTATTATCTAAAATATTATGGCAAAATAAATGAACTTCGACCACTATTAAAAACACCTGCTAGTGTTGATCTAATACAAAAATTTGTTGATCTATGTATTGTTGATGCATATAATGCTCAAATTAATGTTGTTTGTAGTAATGAACGAAAGCAATTTCTTAAAAAGCAAATGAGTTATACACCAATTCATACACCAAATAATACACCAATAGTAAACTTATGCACATAATAATACAATACACTTAATAATAACGTCGGCTAAGACGCAATACCTTTAAATACCTTACAAGTCAAAATAAATTTTTGTAGTTTAACTTATGTTTGAAGTAATATGTCTAGACAATGTTTTCCATTAGTCTATAATGAAGTTTTAATGACAATTCATTTTCAAAATAATTTTTTTTGTAAACTTTGATGTATATATCTCAAAATACCTCTTTGACCTACGATAGCCATTCCAGACGATTTTTTTATAATTCAAATAGACAAATATCATTGCATAGAGTTTGGCTTAACCTAAAAAATGATGAGTCATTCGGCCTTTGAAATTAAGCGAATCAAAAGTTGTTGAACTTTTTGTAGTGGAAAAATTAATGATTTTTTGACAAAAGGTATAGGACTATAGGTATAGAAAATTTGTTGTGTTATGGCACCGAAAATAAGAGTATTATTGACTTTTAAATAACTTTTGAACCGTTAATACATTTGACTTGAAATTTTTCATAGTAACCCATCTATAATAAAAAAAGAAAATTCCAAAATTATTTTTTCTTAAAATCTGATGGGATTGATTAAAATCATTTATTTTACAGACTGAGGGCTAATATTAATTTATATAATTTTGGGGTGATACTGACTTTTAAATAACTTTTGAATTGTTATTATGTTTGGCTTGAAATTTTTTATAGTGATCCAACAACTATAAGAAAAAAAAATTCCAAAATTTTTTATTCTAATCTGTCGGGAGTGTCCAGAATTTTACAGATTGAGAGTTTTTACTAATTTATATATTTTTGGCGTCATACTGACTTTTTAATAAGTTTTGAACCGTTATTATATTTGACTTGAAAACTATTGCACAATTTACAGAATGCTCTGTGAAATAATCACATAAATTACAGATTGGTCAGAAAATCGCTGAAAATGGTCTGTACAAACAAATGGAACATATTAACTTTAAATAGTTTAATATTTTTTTTAAATTTTTGATATTTCTGAACCCTCTGAACATTTGACTTGAAATTTTAAATAGTGATCTAGTTTTTAATAAATCTGTCGGGTTTATCCAGATTTGTTTATTATACTAAGTGAAAGGTTTCTACTAATTTAATTGTGTTATAAGGAGAAAAATTATGGTTAGACTATACAAATATGCATAAAGGAATCATGGAGTCCAAAAAATGCATCATTTGAAAACTATTGCATAATTTACAGACCTGTCAGTGAAAATATTGTATAAGTTACAGACGGGTCTGTAAATTACAGAAAAATGGATTTACAAACCAATTGGGCATATTGACTTTAAATACATTTGATATTTTTGAACCGTTACCACATTTGTTTTGAAATTTTAAATAATGATCCAGTTTTTATTAAATCTGTCAGGATCATACAGAATCGTTTATTTTACAGACTGAAGTGTTTTTACTTATTTAATTATGTAATGAAGAACAAAAATTAGGGTGACAATATGCAAATATGCATGAAGGAATCATGGAATCTGAAAAATACATCAACTTAAAATTATTGCATAGTTTACAGATTGGTTAGTAAATTACTGCAAAAGGGTTGAACAAACCAATTGGACAATTTGATTTCAAATATATTTCATATTTTCATAAATGTTATTACATTTGACTTGAAAATTTTGATAGGGATAAAAAACAATAAAACAATTAAAGCCATATTTTTTTTTATAATTGTCGGGATTATCTAGAATTGTTAATTTTACAGACTGGAGTGTTTTTATTTATTTATCTAGTTTTGCAGATTAAAATTTTAGTTTGCATTATAAAAACTCCATGCAAATATGCATAAAGTATAGTAGAATCCAATTAATTCATCTGTTTAAAACTATTGCTTAATTTACAGACCGATTAGTAAATTACTATATTATAGCATATTTAAAGTAATTTGTTAAGAGTTCTGACAGATTTGGCCATGTCAAGTCACGTTTATCTTTTTCTCTGCAAATTTGTAAAAAGTAAATATTTCTTAATACAAAATTTGGGTGTTTGAGGAAAACAAAACCATCTTCAACATTTAAAAATTCCAATATATTCTTGGCAGTATCAAATGGTTTTTTCCAGCAACAATTTGGAAGCTAAAATTAAAAGTAAACCTTAACAAAAGTAAAAGCAAAGAAAATAAAATGGATCAATAAAGTTGGCTTTCAATAAATAAAAGTATCAAAATACAAAATATTTATGCTTATGTTTAAATATAAGGAAAGTAGGTCTAACTAATTCAAAATTAAAAGGATGTGAATAATAAGTTTTTTTATTTTGAACAACAAACAAAAACGATGGAAAGAATAAAGATTTTTATACCATTTAAAGCAGTTATATATTATTTTTATAAAATGAACCGTCCTATTTAGCTACTATTTAAATTTCTAATTAAGTGAAAGAAAAAAAACTTTCATAAAGCAAATGCAAAAATTTATTTATAACTTAGTAAACAAACGCAAAAATCAAACATCATAAAATACGCAAAAAAAAAAAAACATATGATGAATATATAATTTTTAAACAAAATTCCTATGCATTAAATTTTCAAGATAACATAAATAAATACTTGATTTTGATAGAGAGGAAGGGCTATACTCACCTCTTGGACAGGTAACTTTTTTAAAAAAAGTTTTTAAACTAAATTAATCTTAAAGTTTTTTAACGTTGCAAACTAAAAATTTTTATATAAATTTGATTTTTGTATAAATTTGAAAGGTTACCCTTTCCATTTGATTCATCATGCTTTTTTTAATCTATATGGAAATTTTCATGCAAATTGGATGTGTTTGAGTACTTAGGAAATCTTACCCTTAAAAGCAACTTTTGAAAAAATGTGTCTGTGGCAACTTTTTTAACAAAAGTGGTCTCAAGATATTGATAATATTTAAGTGAAGCCATTGAAGCACGGTGCTTGCATAACTATACAAAAAGATATAAGAGAGTAAAGTTTATGAAAATTTGGTGTTTTTCGTCAAACGTCAAACAATTTTTGTAGCGCCGTGGAATTGCTACCTACGACTACGTCTACGCCTAGGATATTTAATTTATTTTTTGAAGAATAATTTTTCCAATACTTTTCCAGATTGTTTTCAAAAAATAAATAAAAATTGCTATACTTTCTAGGACCACTGCTTTAATTACAGCATTATAATAACTTCACTTTTAACTAATATTAATGTACTAGGAAAAAGCAACCCGTAATACGGGTTTTGGTCGGTCTGTTACATAATTAATTTATAGTGGCTGTTTTCCACAATTTAATGTTGCAAAACCTTAACTAATACCCTTTTAGAAAATTGCCTTTAGCTTGAAAAAATTAATCCATCTGTAAAAATAGCATAAAAAGTATGAGGAGGTAAAATAATTTACTAACTACTATTTAACATTTACAATTACTACTTAACATTATTTGAGTAATTTACAAATGGCATAGGTCATAACAGTGTACGACAGAAACATTTTCATCGACCTTCCTAAGTTTAACACAATACGTTTTTAGTTACTGACACAAAATGAGAAAACTTGGTCATGCTTTAAATTGACGAAAGTATCAACTAAACCCTTGTAATAATTTTTATAATACGAACCATTAAGATTAAAATGAAGTTAACTTATATTATACAGGAGTTATCAATTTTTGGTATCCCCTTGATTAATTGTTCTTTATAAAAGAAAATTGTTAACTTAAAAATGTTAAATGTACACATTTAAATAAATTTATTAAAAATAACAAAGTTTATTATAAATAACTACAAAACTGAGAACAAATACCTTTCAAACGAAAAAATTTAATTTACGATCAAACAAATTTATATTTGTTATTCTCTTGGTCTAACATCAGAACAAACCATAGAAGCTGTTCAAAAGAACATTAATAAGATTATCAAAGGGTTTAGTGTCTCGGAAAGTAATCCTTCTCATGGAATAAAACTGAAAACATTTTGAAATAACAGGCTTGAAGGTTGTCGAGCAGGGACATTTTGTTGCGTTTTCCAGGACATTTTATATCCTATTAAATGAATATTATCAATTATCTTTACGTTATATTTTTTTCATATTGATTATAAGGGTATAACAAATTTTTTAATGCATTAATGCATCATGCGACAAACCTAAAATAAAAATTATAAGAGATAAGTAGACATAAAAATTTGTAAACCAAGCTGACCCGACCAGGGTCTTGTTAAGTCTGTTCAACACAGATCATTTTTATATTATTTGTTCTGCCTCTTTATTTCATTAATTTTTTAGTAAACGGTAATTTGCCATCATTTACTAAAAAATCCTTTTGTAACTCGAAATTTAATTTTCCTAAATATTTTGACTCTAATAAAGAGATTCCTCCCCTCTTTTTGCTTTAATGGTGCCAGGTGAATAAAATAAAATAATAAAATGTAAAACAATGATCTATATATATAAGAATGTTTTC